GCGGCGTGGCAGCGATCTCTCTGTTCAGTTGGGACGGAGGGCATACGCCAGGCGCCAAAAATCAATTTCATGTCACATCCTTCGCTCCTCATGCTTTTGTTTCTTGTCCTCACGTGGTCAGCTCCCCGCTGATTGAGCAGCATGACCAGCATCATGTTCGCACTTGAAGAATAATTCCCCAAAAGGTTTAGGGCTTCTCAATTCTTTTCTTAAGATATGTCCGCCTGCTCTGTACGGCTGTGTCCGTCTCTGCCTTGCAACCCTTTACATTTGTCTCCCAGCTCTGGGCTGCTGTGGCCGCCTCTGCCTTGCGCAATCCCTTGTCCAAGCTCTAGTTTCGATGTTGAAAAACACAAACTGTTTGGGGTCTACGGTGGTGTAATTTGTTGTTTTGAAGCGCCGGTTTTCACACCTATGTTTCGCGCCGTCGTTATATATGTCTATCTGTCTGTCTGTATGTATGCTATGTTGTGTAATGTAATGTAATGTAATGTAATGTCGTGTCGTGTCGTGTCGTGTCGTGTCGTGTAGTGTAGTGTAGTGTAGTGTAGTGTTATGTATGTATGTATGTATGTATTCTCATTTTGGGATATCAGCCAAGGCCTGGGTTTAAGGCTGAGGGATCAATCGTGTTGCAAATTGTCAAGCGGTTGGAACGTAATTTGAGACATGTGACTGGTGTCATACTCATTGCTGATTCCACGCTTATGGCAAACACGCCACAAGTGAGGTGGCTAGCGAAGCTGGAGAGCTCAAGGCCCAAGCAGGTGCATGTGGCTTGGCGTTCGCACAGTGTCAGCATTTGCCCCTAGTGGCCCCAGTGTCACTGTAGCACGTCGGCTTTGGCAGCTGCGCGAGCTTTGTACCACGGAAGTTGTGTCCACGTGAGATTCTCGTATCCTTGCAGCAGCTTGGCTTTAGGCCTAAACTTGGGCATCCTCTACAATAGCCGTGGCAACCATGAGAAGTCTGTGGAGCTATTGGAACAGCATTTTGATCTGGCAAGGCTGTTGGGGCCAGACAGTCAAGTATGGGCGAATGCTTTAGAAAGCAGAGTTCGCGCTTGCGTCTCCCAAGAAACTGTTGGATTGGGATTGTGCAATTTGCAGACCAAAACCTTAGAGTAGAACCCCTTGAAAGACCGACACTCTGCAAGACCATAAAAGACGTGACAAGGAAGAGCGTGAACAGCGTTAGTTTCCTTCCCACTGTCCAGGAGCAATGTTGCGACTTAAAAGTCAGATGAAGTAGGTAGCAACTAAACGGTTTAATTTATGTGCCCGACGAAGGCAAGCGAAACAATTCTTACAGTACATATATATATATATACATTCTGTCTATACTGTGGAAACATAGACGACTAAGTACTTGTGTTTGATTTTGGCTCAAGGGGAAAAGGCCGCTACTGTGTTTTGATGGTAGGGAGAAAGCCTGGCGACTCCGAACTAAAATAACACCAGCGTAGACCCAGATAGCTAGGCAGAATCCCACGACCTGTTGACATGCGACTGGCTGGAACAAGAATGTACGCAGCTTGCGCAGCCAGCTTATGGCACCTCCACAGCGCGCGCAATCAGCTGACACCAGCACCGGTGCACTTTGCCAGCTGACAACACCGGCAGCGGCGCCAGCGCCCGACCAGCGCCGCCGCCCGTTTTAAACGCGCGCTCAGCCAGCTGACCACAGCGCCGATACCCTTTCGAAAGCGCGCGCAGCCAGCTCATTCTTATTTGCAGCAAGAACCCCATAGCTATCCCTATTTGGGGAATAAGTGGGAATAACAACGTGTGATCTTGCGCGCAAAAGTTTATACGCGCAAAAGTATGCGCGCCGGCGGTTTGTTACCCTTGACTCTTAGAAGCGGCGGTTGTTGTCACTTCACTGTCAGAAGCGGGCGCCAGCACCGAGCACCGGCACGCCAGCTCACGGCAACAGCACCAGCAACCTGTCTCCACCGCGCGCGCAGCCAGCTCACACAACACCAGCACCGGCATCCAGCACCGGCGCCCGGCACCAGCGCCAGCAACCTGTCTTCACCACGCGCGCAGCCAGCTCACAGCACCAGCACCAGCGCCGGCACCCATCCACCGCGCGCGCAACCAGCTCACAGCACCGGCGCCCGGCGCCCAGCACCAGCGCCAGCACCAGCGATTTGTCTCCACCACGCGCGCAGCCACCTCACAGCACCAGCACCAGCACCGGCTCCCAACCCCCAGCGCCGGCGCCCGGCCAGCCAGCAACCTGTCTCCACCACGCGCACAGCTCACAGCACCAGCGCCCGCACCGGCGCCCGGCGCCCGGCACCGGCACCAGTGATTTGTCTCCACCACGTGCACAGCCAGCTCACAGCACCAGCACCAGCACCGGCTCCCAAGCGGCTGACGGAGCCCGTCACAGCTGGGAGTTGCGATCTCCCGGGCTCCACGGTCGCGCTGAACAAGGAATGGTATCCGCTTGCAGGCAAAGCAAGGAAGAGGGTACTTCTGAAAGAGAGTGGGGTGGATGGCCACTGATGAAAAGGTGGCGCGAACCTTGGAAGACGTTTTTTCGAAAAGGACCACGAAGCGCGTCCCCTTTGATAGGAGGAATCGTAAGGCAAGCAGCGGTGTACCCTCCGCAGCCACCAACAGCAGCAATGTCCAGTCGACGCGCTAGTGAAGGCAGGCCCAGCGACCTTGGACTGGACTTGGAAGCCGCTGCGGAAGGAAATGGCAATGCCGCAAGGGCACCGTGCAGAGAGTTGGATTAAAGCATGGCACGCCGTATCCAAACCCGCTATTTGTAAGCTGAACGGCGCCTAAAGGTGACCCATGCCCCTGGAAAAAATGGCGCCAGGAGCAGCGTCGTAAAACAGTGGAAGACTTCCAATATGCTTTCCTTGGTGGCAGGAGCAAAGGGCGACTAGATATCCTTGAATGAGGACCCTGGGCAGACTCCGCTACCTTGAGCTAGGTGTAAGAACAGCATCCAGGACAAGAGGGGGGCAGTGAGTGTAACGGGAGAAGAGAAGTTCTACTTGTTTTGCACCGCTTACTCAGAGCTTAACCTCTGCCATAGAGCCCATACCTAACTCCGTTTTGCACAGTCTCGAGTATAGTAAGTGCATGCTATTGTCTTTGGCGCAAGGAGAGAAGGACGCTCCGTAGCGTCAATACTGTGTTTTGATATACTGTAGATAAAATCCTGGGTGAGCTCCATAGCAGGTTAGACTTGAGGTGGTGCTTGGCATGACTTTGCCACGCACAAGCGCACAAGGCATGACATTTCAATTTTGCACGGCGCGCATCATGCAACATTTGGCCACCAACCACGCAAAAATGCAATGAGGGTTCTCTAGCTCCTTTTGCGCCATTGTCTGAGTTTGACAGGGTCGGCGCAGTATCCGTAGGCAGTGCTATTTTGCAACCAGTTGTGTTTGATGGTGCACGCACAGCGGAAATTTGTTTGCGTTACCTTCACACCAGCCAGGCAGATTGGAGATCGGAAGCTGATTGACTCTGCTCGAACCATGTCTGAAATCGGTGATTATCAGAATCTTGCAACCATGCTTTGCAGGTTCAGAGCTTTTCATGGCCTACAATAAATGTTTAACTTGCTTGTACAATTATAGGCCACCCCACCCCTTTCTAGAGTTCTAAATTTTGTTGAACGTCTCACAGAAAGTTCCTCGATGCTTCTGCTAGTCATTCTGAGACTTTATTTGTTGGGTTATCACGAAAGGTAGCGGTTACGCTACCTGAGGTTTCCTTTTGCTTTAGCAAAAATGAATTATAACCAGAGTGGACACCTATCTCATTGAGAAATCGCCTCCGACATATACTTTTGAGGGCCGAGGCGGGGGGCCAACCCCCCTTTCAACTCCACCCTGGCGCGGCTCTTTGTCAACAGCTACAAAACTCTGTAAATACCAGTGTTCTCCTCCAGTCTGCAAAAGTGGCACAGGGTTTTCTGTGGCTGTCCGGCCAAAAACCTTGTAAAAACCGATGGTTTTTGAAGTGTCAAAAATGGTCGAAAAATTGCCAAAAACATGGAAAAGTTTTGTCGGAAAGGGTTTTTTCGGCCAATGATTCCGTTAGATCCCCCCCACCCCTCCATGGGCCAATCATGCCATTGGATCCCACCATTATTGCCGTCGATGTGCAAGTGATCCACTTTTTCGATGCGTAAGTGATCCCCGATGCGCAAGTAATCCAAAAGTCGATGCACAAGTGAATCCCCCGCCGTTGTGAAGACAATTGGTCGAAGAAAAACTTTTAAACACTAGTAGACTTTAGAAAGGAGTTACAGGGTTTGGAATTGGAAACCATTCAAACCATGGTATGTCATGTTTTAGAAATGTTTTTTAAGGGACAAAACAGAAAGTCTATAATTTGTTTTGCCGTATATACAATTTTCACATCAATACAGTTTGACTTATTTCTAGTCAGCAATCAAAATCACCCTTAACATTCTTTAGTACTCCCCTATTCTTAACCAATCAGTTTACAACACATATGTCAAAACTTATGCCAGACATATATACACCATGTATATATATATATACACATATTTGAGAGATACAGATGAATCGTATTGTTCTCACCAACAATCAAAAAATATTGAACACATCTCCGACTTTGCAATGTCACGGGCTGCATCTCTTTTTGTCTTAGGAGTTGTGCTGGGCATGGTCCGTGCAGAGCTCAGCTTGCAGACAGAGGGTTTCAGATGATGTATTTGCGCAACAACACGCGAGGCGGGAATGGCAAATTGAAAGCTTACATCAACATGGTGAACCATGATTTGGACAAGCTCCTGAAATGGAAAAGCAACTCGCTTGCATTGCAGTTTGCAACTGTTGCTCGTTCTACATGGGGTGGATTTGGCCTGAGCGCCAAGGCAAACGTGCAACTTTGGACTCATAGTGCTTGTAGCCGCTTGAAATCGGAGCGGTGGGAGGATGTGTGTATATAGCTGTGTAGTGAGATGCAGCAGCGCCAGTGACACTAGGCAGTACCGCAAAGAGGGCAACAGAACCAAGTCAGTGGGAAAGTCCCCTTCCTCTTCAAACCTGCAACCTGGCCAGCCTGCGTTCGTTTCACTGCCTTCTGATGGCAAGCCTGGTCAGTCTGGAGATCATTTGCTATTCCGAGCACTGCAAGAGATGAACACTAAGCCTGACGAAAGATGAACTGCTACAATCAAGGCTCTTCGGTTGTTTTGCACCTGCAAGAGAACAGTGCAGCTTTTCAACTACAAACGTAATGCAGCGGGTGTTGGTTGACTCAAGTCTTGGCACCTTTAAGAAGAAGTATCCATGGAAAGACGTGCTACTGTAACACTGTATTAATCAAGGATATTCCAACTTTGCTTTGAACATACGGTATGCCTCCCAAAATAAATACATCATCATGTGTATATATATATATATACGCATTTTGTTGCGCACAATCGTTGCGAGTATTTCGCAAGCCCTCAAGCAGAATTATTATGCAACGAGTGGTTAATGGTGGTTTGAACAAGCCTGTTCAACAGGGTTCTAGGTCAGAATGAATTTCGAGCCAGACCGAGTTTCCTAGTGCATCGAACACACAGAAACACAATACCATTGTAACTGTGGACATGAGTCTGCACAATTCACCTGCAGATGTCCTCAAAGCCTAACGGGTGTGGTGTGGTGTTGCTGGTCACTATTATGGTTGTAACTTGCGGCACTACTAAGTATGGGGGTGCTCGCTGCATGTGGTCGTGTTGGACACGTGAGCTGAAAACCAGCTTGACTCCCGCAGAAGGCATTCGTGTCTCACAGCGCAAAAATGCGAGGCTTTGGGGCTTTATCCAGGACTAATTGTTTTTGTACCAACGCCTTGAGAAGGACGCGCCTCCTGTGAGGCTATGTGTTGGACCTGGTGGATGAGGGGAATGCAAGTGCAATTGTGCTCTCAGGTATTTAAGCTAAGTGTTCCGGAGAAATCATGCTCCCAGGGAAACTGGTGTGTGTTTCATGTTTCACCACCACAATGACGTTCCTTTACGACTGCTGGCATTCGTCCTGTATCATCCTACAAAAGCTCTTTGGGTTTCTTCCATTGCAGCAAGTATGCGAGTGTTGCACTTCCTACTGAGCTGCGTGCGCTGCTTGTAGCAGTCATTGTGTGTTGGTTGTAGCCACCGTTTCATCATTCATGGTTTGGCCGAGTGTTTGATCTCATGAGGTTTGATTCTTGTCTCCAAATTCACTTTGATGTCAAGTTGATTGTTTATATGCTCTGGCTTCGAGCAAAAAGGATCGAGCAGGCACTATGATGGCCGCACTGAGAATTACCAGTAGATGGCCCCTCCATTTAGTATCTAAGGGCTTACGCCAGACAGCCGGCCAGGGACCCTCAGAGGGGAAAGGGGAAAGAGGAGGGTAATGGAAGGGAGAAGTAAGGGAGGAGGAGGAGGAGTAACTGTTGGTGTGGGGGTTGTAGTAGTTGTATTTGGTGCTGGTGCTGGTGGTGGTGGTGGCAGTAACTGTTGGTGTGGAGGTTGTAGGTGGATGTAATTGTAGTGATTGTAGTGGAGTTTCTGTAGTGAAGAAAATAAATGGGGAGAGAAAGAGGAGAAGGAAGAAAGACAATGAGAAGCTTCAAAAGGAAGCAGAATGAAGAAAGAAAAGGAAGAAAGGAGGGAGGGAAGGCAGGAAGGAAGGAAGGGAAGGATGAACGGAGAGAGCTTAAGGTTTAGTAGGGATTTTCAAGCATTTGAGAGGAAAGGAAAGTGTTGAAAGGATTGGAATTACGGTCGGATGTATGGCACATTTTGGGAAAGAAACGGCTTGAACAGAGAAGCTTTGCAATGCAGCTGGGATTTTCTGTATTAGGCATGCGTATTTTTTTGCTGCTTGAAGGATTATGTTTTATGTTAGTTAGTTTGCTTGAAATTCTCAAGTCTCTTTATTTATATAGCCTCAGAATGTTTGTCAACATCTCTGCATTACAGTCCTCTTTGTGTCAACATTCTCAAAGCCCGTTTTCACACCAGTAAAAATGGAATTGTGCTCACGCCAAGCTCCGTTCAACCTTCAAGTCCACATCCCAGACTTGTTTGGAGCATGTTTGCATCACAAGAGTTGCTGAACCAATCAATAATAAGCTTTCCTCACTCAAAAATTTACCTTCATTCGTTTTGCTTACCGTTGTTTATCACTTTGCATCCTGAAAATTGTTGAACTGACAAGCTCTCCCCTTCACCCCACGGCTCATTGAGATCTATGTCTAAGCGTTGTTGGGCGCAGATAGTGATCAGATGCGAAGCGGTTTCGGCGATAATAGATATTGGGGGAAGCGAGTAGAATGTTGCTGTCAACAAGATTATTATTGACTTGAGGAGGCTTCTTTTGGAAGTTTAGCTCAAAAAGATTTTAAAAAGGAGCTAGGCAGCAGGGAGCTGAATCAATCTATTGAGTTTGTTATACCTCAAAGAGTTTGCTGAATGATTCGTTCATATGTTTAAGGCAGTCAGCTTATTTGCAAAACCACACGGAGAAACCACACCACAATACTATGGCCGACAGTTTCCATATCTCAGAAGCATATATGTAATTGTTTGATAAAACTATTTGGTCACGGCAAATTGGATGCCTGGGTACTAGATATTGCTCTCCCCAATCGAGGATTGTGTTTATTTATAAGATTCTATATGAACATGCGGAAAAAGCAGAATGGCGTCGGTTGGATTCACTAAGAAGTTCATGAAACTGTGGCTAATGAAGCTGCTTTCTTCTATTTTGCACCTTGGTGTTTATCATTATTCTTGGGAAAGGCTTAAGATTTAGTTGTTGATACTAGGTCTAATTGATTGGTAAGGCAATAAACTCTATATGGAAAGCTTAATATTCTCTTTGGCTTGGGGAAGTTAAGCTAAGTTGGTCATGCGTTTTTTGTGGTCAACTTTATTGTTAGGAAGATTGCCTTTTAAGCAAGCTTGCTTTAGCTCACACCACTCCAAAGCCTTATTGTTGTCTATTTTATCTAATAGTTTATCCACTTCAACTCATCATTATTTTGATACTACGTTGTTACTATACAATTACTACCTGTATAATACATTATGCTTTGTCCCACCGCATTAACACGCGTGTTGTTGCAGCTTGTGGCACTTGCATTCTCCTAATTTGCCATGCGCCTCCAACCTTGTTAGTCGTTCTTTGAACTTTACCGAAGGTTCCGCCGGTAGTTATTTTTTAATTTGGTAAACTTCTGGCTGCGAGATAGTCATTTTGTAGCTTCACCACATCTCATTTGATTTAATGGTTAATTCCCTTCCCCTTACCTCATGAAGCTCTAAACAATACTTGTGCCTAAAAGGAACTAGATAGCGGAAAGCAGAAAAATTTATTGACTGGTGATTGCCGGGTATTGTTTGTTATTGTTTTATATTTCATTGTACATGTTTGTATTGATTATATACGTTTAATATCTTTTTACTATTTAATGGCCACCGATCTCGGTTTGTGACCATTTGGGTCCCGCGTAATGTAAGCATTGGTTTTTCTAACGGCGTAGCAGCGTCCATGAAACCCTTAGCTTTGCGAAGGGTTTATACTGACCCTTTTTGGAAAGCACCTTCGCTCTTTGTCGCACGTTCTAGCTCTCAATTTTTTGGTAATTGTTGTTAACAAAATCTTCATGAATGAATTGGAACACGATAGTGTCTGGTAGCTGGAATGACAATTGCATCGGCGAACTTTGGCTCTGGTATGGTCTTTTCCCTCCGAACCCCTTTGCTGCACAAATTGTGTTCCAAAGTTGTTGACGGTGTAAGCACACTTGCGGATCGGATTTGCCCTTGGCAAAAGAAGCTTGCAGAGCTTGAAACCTACGCTTTTGCTGAAACCACAGTTGGGTACTCCTATTCAAAAAACCAGAGGCTATGGCCACTTCTCTGGCCCTACTAGCAGTTGGCACGAACATTTTTGTTGGCCTAACTCTTGGCTTCACGTTTGCACACCTACGAGTACCATACATAGCTGGAGCAAAGGAGGATGGGTCCTGAGTCGACTCAGAAATACTTTTTTTCAAAAGCTTTGCATTAACTGTTGGCACTTGGTTCGAAATCGGCTTCAATTGAGCACACTTCATATCCAAGGCCTTAGCATCTATGTCCTCCCAAGGGAGACGAACTGGCATTTGCCAATGCGATTCTACCTGGGGCTTCAAAGGAAAATTAATCCTGAGCAACAATGCTTTGTGATCTGGAAACCAGTCACCAAAATGCCGATGTTCATTGCCCAAGGCACAATCTCCGGAAAGAGAGCCAAACCTGATCGGGTCTAATCGCATTCTTGCAGGTGGGCGCTGGGTCCCACATGCCTTTGGACCTAAACAAGTCTTGGGCTTCTACCCAGCCGGCTTCTCTCCACAGCTCCATGGCTTCGAGGCTGAGGGGCGCTGAGTTGAAGTCGCCTGAGATAATTCTTGGACCTCCTCGCCCCACTACAAGTTCTTCAGTCAGCGGCCTGAGCAAAACCTCACTGAGTTCCTTTGCCTTCGGATAGGTTGGGCCTCTGAATGGGCAGTAAACCGTTGCGTGATGCACAAAGTTCAAATCACATTTAGCAACAGTGATCAAGATCCTACCGCTCTCCCAAATGCCAGCAGGCAGCGGAAGCGGCACTGATCTGAGCGGGAACGGCGCTGCTTGAAGCACACCTGTCCATGCACCAGCCTCTGATGACCCGCGGGCGGGTGCCGGGCTTCCAACAGCAATTCGAAATCCATTGAGATTGTTCTGCCCGCGTTTCATGGCAGCACGAAAGAAGCTTTGGTGGCCAGTAGTGGTCTCTGTTTCAGAAACCGAGTACCAGCCATCCGGAACTCTTTGGAATTGATCAATCTTGTTGCAAACTCCACCTGGGTTACAAGCAACTAGCAAAAGACCGTCATGATTCGGA